GGCAGCAGGCAGAAGGTTTCAGTGATGCATGACAGCATCCAGAGTGGGTGGAAAAACACAATCTATACCCACCTTCATTGCTGGTGCCAGTGTTGTTGACCTCACATTCATCTGTAATGTGGAATACACACAGATAAAGACATGTTATTTATTCTCAAAGTCAAGTGCATGCACAGACAGTTGATGAAAGGCTGGTATTAGTAAAATGTATCCATTTATTTTTGTCAGTGTACTACTGGTTGTTTTTATCAAATTACTTTCTGCTCAAAAAAATTGATCACACCCAAACCAGTCCAACAATATAAGAGCAACTTCATAATTCATAACAGTCTCATGCCTAGAAATTCAGCCCCTTCCTAAAGAGTTATACATCAGAAAAGCACAAAACAAATGTGAGAAGGGGGGAGAGATGCACGCAAAATTAATTAGACTGCCATCCCTCTAAGGCACCTCCCCAAATCCTCTGTTACCTCTGAAGTCACACAACTCCTCCGTCACTCCCTGAGCAAACCTTGCTGCTTCCCCTTTTGCAAAAACAATCCAGACAAAGCACACCATAAAAATAACCACTCTACCCCAGGCAGTCGAGGGATGATGTAAACAAATACAACTGCTTAGGCATGATACAAGCAAAGAATCCAAAGTGGTTTCAATGTTCTGTATGTTTACAGCAACAAGTCTGCAGTACAGGCCATCTAATCCCTGACAAGCAGGTTTCTTGGCACTGGAGGTTTGGATGTGTCAGATGGTACAGGTTCATAAAGCATGTAGGCGGCTTGGACATTACATGCTACCTTTTGCTTTGCAATTTAGACCTGTAGGCTGCCAGCTATGGAGATTATTTTACATAGCCTCTTCAATATAAAACCGATTTAATCTGTTGCAACATGTGGGAATGGAATTTCTCTTTAGTGAAATGCCACTGGGACTCTAGGACTGTTGCAAAGCAGGAAGGATGAAGCAACAATAACCGAGCTCTCTTTTTGTACTTTTAGATCTGAGGCACAGAACTACCCAGAGAGTGAAATAACATTATTTTATGCAAAACTATTTAAAGGATTATTATTTACATCTTGGGCGTAATACTCATAGTTTTGGTCCTGATTTCTATGAGCAATAATAACATTATACCTGCCAGCCTAATTGCTGAGCTCTGGAAACAAGAAATGCCAAAACTGTGTGTAAACTTTAAATCACAGGTTAGAGACCTGACGTATGTGGTTCAGCTTTACATTTTCCAGTGCAAAGAGATTATGTTTTGGTCTTATTTCCAAATAATTGTTTTAGAAAATCTGACTAAATTTGACGTGTTTTTAACTTAAAATATTTTTAATTAGTCAATTTCAGTACTAACTGTCAGCAAGTGCAATAATACTTCATTTGGTCAGTTTATATACAGTAGTACATCTAACCTGTGGAGATCCTCCTTTGCACATTATTTTAAGCATATTCTGCCACTTTACAGATTTTCTTCTCCAGTGATGTTTGTGCAGCACTTGTGCCACAAACAAGTGAGTTTTCCTTGCTGTGCTGTTCTAGCAATGTTAGTGTTCAAAGTAATTTATTTGAGTTAAATTTTATAGTTACAAATAGAAATGGCTAAAACCAAGGGAACTGAATTGAGAAAACCCAGAATTATCCTTTACTACAAATTTAATCCAAAGAAGCGGATTCAGATTAAAATCATCAGTGTAACGTAAACTGTCAGGAGACATATACATGCACACTATACCACATACAACATGTATGCATATTGCATAAATATTGATACGATATATTATGCATACACATGAAATTATACACTTTTACGTAATCACATTACGGATATTAAAACTGATGGAGGAACACAGGGAATGAGCCTGATGTTGAAGCAGTTTCCATTATGCCTGCCTTTTTATACAAGCTACCATAGCACGTCTGTGTGCAGAAGCAGGAGCTCACTGAAGCACTGGTCTCATTCCAGATGCTCCTTTCTTCCTCTCTCTCCGGTAATAACAAGACAGTCTTGGTGCTAGCATCCTCTTCCTTTAATATCCAGCACTGATCAAAACAAAGCAAAAAAGCTTACAATTTCAGCTGATTGCTGCTCTAGCCTCCTCTGCCTGTCTGAAGCTCAGAGGGAACAGCAACATTGGGCTGTCTTGCTCTCTAATTTGACTCTTGTGTGTTGACAGTAGAGGGGCAATAATTTAGAGGAGGATGTGAGTGTGGTGTGTGA